GAATACATGAGAGCAAAAACCATAGTTGAGGTTCAAAAATATTTTTGATACCACTATTGGTTATTGAAATATTGATTTTTAAGCTTCAAAATTTACCTCGCAAAACTTTCTGGAAAACCTAATATTAATCTATCTATGATTTAAACATAATCTACGATAAAATTTATACACACGTCTAATTAAATCAATGATTATTGTTTTTAAAAATTGTTTCTAATTTACTATAATTTGTATGATTTTAACTAACTTGACCAAATTGAATTGAATGTAAACATTTAATTCACAAATTTAAACATTTTTACCAAGACCACTAATTGTGTTAAAAGATCTATGAGTTATGACTTAATACCGGGCAAATATGCTTACAAATCTAAACTGACAAGCCTGCTTTTAATTTCTGCCAGCACATTTAATATACATGGTGATGATATTTTATAATAAATGAATTAATCATTGAATAACGATTACAATGTCCTAGTTGATATTACAGTAATACTGTGTTTTCCACACACATACATTGTAATCACTACGCAATATATCATATCATATTAAATTACAATGATTATCTTGTGTGAACATAAATTTAAATTAGAGAAATATTGCACCCTGTTCCAATCAACATTATTTGCCATTTTACGGGCACTAGAATATTGTGCGAGCAATATCACTTATCAATTTATAATTTTGAATTTATGTGAAAATTCAGTTATTAGTCCTCTATATCAGTGGATAGAAAACCTTTTGAATGTGAAGTATAGGTTTAAAGCTAAAAAAGGTTTATTATGAGTATTGATAACAAGTATGAGTATGCTACATAAGTACAACTTAATAAACTTTTTATCTTTAAACCTATATACTTCACATTCAAAGGGTTTTCTATCCACTGATATGATTACAACTCAACCTCTTATCTCATTCATTTAATATATAATCAATACTATATTTTACTTGATAAATCCATAAATGTATATATTAATAACGTTGGTAGTTTATTAGCTGAAGTTGCTTATGCGAAAAGTATTGCTATATCAGCCGCCAATAGTGATATAATTAATTTTAGTTTAATGTCTAAAAATACTGTAAAACGTAAATTAAAGGGATATATGAACGAAATATGGGATAATCGCTGGCAATCAACTGAAAAAGGGACACAAACTAGATCATTTTTTCCGCATATTACCGATAGATTAAAAGTTAAACGTAAACTTGTTTGATTCTCAATGTGGCCAAAACTAGCTTATATATCCATTATAACATATAGGGTATAGGCTAGTTTTGGCCACATTGAGAATCAAGCAAGTTTATATTTACTCATGACTTTGATGTTTGTCAGGCTCTTACAAATCGCGACAATAATAACTATTATTTAAAGCGTTTTCATTTGAGGTAATCTCAGGCTTGCGACAAATGTGGACATGATATGAATCATCGTATATTCGATTGCAGTGACCATGACTTCGAAGGTGAAATTTTTAAGATGGCGGTTATTAACGCAAATTTAGTTTGGCCATCAAATCCCTGTGCTTTTATTTCACGTAAATTGTTTTCTCATTTTTTAATATTTTGTAAACGTATATATTGTTAGTGTTTGTTTTTATTTGTTTAATTTTTCATTTATATTTAATTTGTTTTATTAAGTTGTACTAGATAGCATCTCTTATGATACTTTTGTGATATAAGGGTGCGAATTTAATTTAATTAATAAAGTTTAATTTCATAAAAAATCACCCTGCAATGCCTTTTCTTATGTAAGCCTTTAAGTGTCATATTTCTGCCCAACTTATGTAACTCTCAAATACTTTTACTGTTTGTATATCCATTCACTTGAGTGGACCGTTGGGTGGTATATAAACCACAGCCCAGTCCGCACTAGTGAGCCGTCTGTCCACAGCCTTAAGTTTGTTAATTTGTCTCCAGCACTGGTTGTATGCCAGTGCCCCTGTCCATTTTTATGTAACATTTATAAATACATTTATAATCAATAAACTGTTTGCATTTAATTGTGTGTTATTAATAACCGTTGACTGAAAACCGATACCGTTCCCGTTTGGAAAGTCTCAACCCCTCGAAAAGTCTTAATCCCTTTCCCAAGGGTTAGGTAAGAGTCCCAATGGGCACAGGTATAAGAGCACTACAATTAGCTTACAGTGCAGTAAATGATATGAAACCTAAGCTTATATTGTAATAATATTATGTGAACAATGTCATTAAATGCAAAATACAGCAATATACCTGTATAACGTATAACTTAATTTCATCTAGCTTACATGACGCTGGTCTCAATATCCATAAATCCAATAGTCTAGCAAAATTTAACATTACATTGGCCATCTGGGCGTCAGTATTAAACTGTGCCTGGATCACTCCTAATTAAATAATGAATAATTTATAGACATTTATAAAATGTAAAATTTTTTTAATCATATGCTGTTTATAAATAATAAAACACAAAATAATATTAAATTAAATTAATACATGATAAAATTAATATTTTATTATTGAAAATTTTAAATACTGTAAATGTTATAATTATTTTTGCATGTTAAGTTATTCATAGATAATATTAATATTACGTACCATACAAAGCCAAACAAATAAACAAGGACATCTGAGTAATATACATTTTTATATTGTAATATTATAATTTTATTATAATTAAAAGTGTAGATTAAAAATTTTATAACATAAAATGGCAACACTTATTTTTTTATTTAATTAAAATTATTATAAGGTTTTAAAAATTTATTAAGTAAGTTTATACGAAATTAATTTTCTCTATTAATTATAATTTTCCTACTTAATATAATTTTAATTTATTTGTTTTAATAGTTATATCCAATATTACTTTAATTTGAACAAAGTTGCATGATCAGATAAAATAATCATAATTTTTAATAATTTATAAATTTTACAAATAAGATTGACACCAAAAAACATGTTTAAATTAATTTTTAAAATTTTACTTAAATTAAGTAGGCTTAATTTAAGTAATTAAATTATATAAACACAAATATATAGTTGATTTAAATGCAATTTTTATTCGCAAATAATTTTATTTTACATTAAACATGAAATTAATTAATTTAATTTACTTAATTAAAATCAATAACTTTGAATCGTCTTAAATTATGTAGCTATGTCCTATATTTTATAATAAACACCCAGTTAATTTTTGTTAAGCCCCTCGTTGACAGCCGTGAGGAGGGGGTGTTTCTTAGTGGTTACGTAACCGTTAAAATCGTCGTAATTTATGGCCCTAATGGTGACCCCTCCGAAGCCCTCAGTCGTCGCCCAATTGGTCTTAGCCTTAACGGTGGCCTCGACCTCAGCGGTAACCCATAGGTCACCCTTATAAAAGTAAACTGAGCCATTTTCCTTGTCCTCTTCCATCATCAATCCACCCTCTTTCATTTTCAACATCAACTAGTTCACATAAATAATGTTGGTTATATTTTAAATTGAGCAATGTTTTATGTATAATTTATTATTAGTTAGAATAAATACCTCGTTGAAGCCAATTAATCCGGATGAATTAGTGAATGGCTGAGCAGGGCCCTTATCACTAGCTTTGGCACCGACGCTGTGGTCAGTAGGGTCAGCCAGTTTCCAGGTATGTCCATAAAATGGGAGTGAGACCTAGTCGTATATTTAAAATAATTTTTAAAATAAGATATTTTAATTTTTAATTTTAGTCAGATAGACATATGTACACACCAATAGTTTGCTCATTTGTGCCTTGTCAATTTGGTCACCCCATATTGTCATGGATGCTTTCTATATTATATACGTAATATGAATAAATTATATTTCTATCATATTATTTCAAATAATTATTATATATTTTTATATAATGTATTAAATACTGTACTTACGATATCAGTCAACGAGGCACCATGGCCAGTCGGGGTTTGCGGGGGAGTTTCGTGCCAGGGGCCATTATAGTCAAAGGTGTTCACGGAAATAAAGTCCACTTGTCTATGTTATTAATGTTAATTAATTAATTAGATTTTATTAATACTAGAATATTGAGACTTTTAATATATCAGATACAGTACGACAAACTATTTACAGCTATTTAACTAGGAAAGTCCGATAGTATTACTGCTTTCAGGAATAATATATGTAATAACTTATTTAATTAATTTAAAAATTACTTTATAATAATACAAAATATTAAAAACTTACTCGATCACTTTCTTAATTTCATAACCAGGGAGCTGGGCGGCCAACACGGAGCCCAACACATACCCATTGGCCTTGAAGTCCTCCTTGAGGACAGTCACCAATTTGATGTATTTCTCCATATAGTCGATGGACCAGCCGTTGGTGAACTCGAGGACAATGCCATCGAAACTGTATTTCTTAAGGAAAGCCATTGAGTTCTTCGAGAACAGTGAGGGGTTGTCGAGTGCGACCACGATCTCCATGGCGTGGTTGAACCCCCCGATGGCCATCAACACCTTGTCGGCGCCCTTGTATTTGAGGAGGTTGTCGAATTGATCTAGGTGGATAAAAAAATAATTATGGTTTAAATTATATTACCGGGAAATTTCCTAGTTGTTTTATTTTAGTGTTAACTTACGGTATCGAGTAACTAGATCCGGGTCCATTATACGGACATCAGCACTGGAGGTAACACCCAGGTAGCCGTATACTAGATGTGTGCAGGCTGAGCTGTCTATTATATGAAAATAAATTTGTTTATTAAAATTATTTGTTAATTTCATTTTTAGGGACTCACCAATATCCTTAATGTCCATGGTGCCTTTGCCATGTTTATCGGGATAGGCAACTAAATATAAAATATTTTATTACTGTGATTGAATTTATTTTTAAAATATACTAGTCTACTTACACCAACTCTCGTAAAAACAAACCACTTTTGGGTCTTTAACACAATGTGTGAGTCCTATACACAGGATTACTGAACACAATATTAGACTAAGATTAACCATGGTTAGTTAATAATATAGTTTGACACTAAAAATAAATTAAATAGACTTGTACGACAAATAAAATATAAGACTATAATGTGTGGACTATTTTTGAAAATCTTTATATACTATTTTGTAAATATTATATCCGGGTTAGAATCGTAGTAAATAATCAATAAGTTATATGTTTTATATATTTTTATAAAAATTACTATCTGCATATATTTTATCTGAAATCTAAGATTGCTTTATAATGTATAAGAGTTTTTAATAAGAAAAAATAATTATATCGATTTCATAGAATTAGGAAGGTCATATCAGGTATTGATTATACAAGTACATTTTTAAAACTTATAAAATTATCGTACTTAATATTGTTGTATTTCACTAGAAAACACCTGATAATAATATTTAAATCCATTGTTTAATGTACCATTTATCTGATGTTTATAAAATGTAACCAGGGTGTTGTTTATTGTCTAGTGTGATCTTTCAAAATATAGAAATGTCATTTTCAAATGATTTCTTCTAATATAACTTTACAATGCGAGAACGGCAAGTGTTTAATCTAATTGCAATTAAAACCGTGTGAATTATAGTCGTATACTATTGTATATTAAAACTATCCAAGTCCTGTAATCTAGTGGAATGTCTTAGTGGGGAACATCGTGTCCTGTCAGTAAATTATGCAATTAGAATGGGTATTAAAACAAACTATATGTCCCTATCGACATGACAAAAGACATGTTAAAATAATTATTTTTAAAAATAAACAACGTATTAAGTTTCACTAATTATATAAGTGATATTACGTAATGTTTGGCAATCTATGTTGGATTTAATTTCACGAACGCACGTACTTAATGAATGGCTTTTTAATGTTACTTAATTTTTTTGGGACATCACTTGTGGTAATATTTTACCACATAGACATAAAAATTATGACTAGCAAGTACAATTACTAATGCTATTCATATAACAATGTACTGTTGCTTCGAAAATACAAATGTAACTCTATGGTGTACAGTGTGACCAACTCGGAAACAATGAATAATGGACAATTGACTAAAAAATAGTGGACAAAAAATTTTATTATGAAATGCAGTTATAATTTTTTTAATTTATATTTTTCTGATGACCTGACAGATTGTAATAATTGTTTATTAGTTTTAGGTTAAAACTTTTAACATATGATTTAAATTTTATATTACATTAGAGATGCCTTTCCGGAGATCTGGAAATCATTGTGTTTTATGTATTATTGAGTAGATATAATATTTTCTGTATATTTCTACAAACTTTTTGTGTAATTTATACGTTCAGTACATTAAATGATAGGACTTTAATATGATATGCAATATTTTACAGTTGGCATAAAAGTTTGTTCAAAAAATAAATCGTTTTATATATTTTCATAAATATTGTATATTATACGTACACTACTTGCTCCTTAAAACACAGTGGACAAACACCCTAAATAGTGTACTGCCCACCCCAATAGTGTACAGTTGGTCACACTGATGGTGTACCAAGTAATGCCCAAAAAAATGAACAACCTAAATATAATAAATAAAATAATTCTAATTCATAATGTTCTTTATTATAATTAAATTGCATTTGGAAACTTTTTATTTATCACATATACACAATATACATTAGAACTTTAAAATAAAATAGTAACGTTCAAGGTTAAAATGTCCTAAACTAATCTACCTGTAATAAATAAGTTAAATAAGTACACATGTTCATAGAATTGTTTTTATGATTTAATGATTTAAACGGAAAATACTATAATTAATTACTTATAAATTAAAATTAGTATAACAAATATATCAACACATGTTAGTTACATTTTATAAACTAACAATTACTATAACATAACCGGGGTCAACAAAAACATAAACCAAATTGTTTGAACTTTCATTATATTTATTTTTATTGTTTAGTTAATTAATATCTTTGGCTTCAATATAGTGTGTAATATATTATAAACTATATTTCATGTAACAAGTCAACTATTTATCAATTATAATGTACTGAATTATTATCACAATGAACTTTTTAATTATAATAATAAAGGACATACTTGCAATAAAATAAAATGTACTAAAAATTACATGTAATTGTTTATGATTTACTTGGAATAGGCTTATAAACTTAAATAAGTTTTAGGATTATAATAAGATTACAAATTTCACAATGGTAACTTGAACATAGCAGATTTATAACTAAATATTGTATAATGCACATATCAAACATAGTACATTGTCACCACTTTGATTATTGTCAAAAGTAATGAACATGTCAAAAAATAATTTATTAGATATCTTTATTATCTGATCTGGATCCAGTTTGAATAACCTATATAAAGGGCGCGATACATAATTTTATATTTAGTGAGTTATTATTAATTAAACTCTTATTAATATTTGGAAATGTACAAATTAATTCTGTTAGTTTGCCTTGCTATTCATTCAGCTAATAGTAGTCCAGTATTAACTAAT